CAGGATTTAGAGGGTTAAAATCTTCCACTGTTAGATTTCCATATTTGTTTTGGACTTATGTATTCGAGTGTCAATTCCCTGATCCTCTGAAATTTTAACACTACATTCAAATTGGTTATCTTAAAACATACTTCAAAATAGTATTCAAGTGGCTAGTCCTAGAATTTACCAGCTGTACAGGAATACAGTCAAAATCAAATTCTTCATCAACAACTGAAGTCTTCGACTTGGCCTCTAAATGAAAATCAAAGCAATCATGCACTGTGGAGTTTTCTCTTTCCACATACGGAATCATGTGATTTCTCACATGGATTCTGTTGTGAGATTATCAAGAATGTGAAACAGTGGGAATTGCTGTACCGGAAGAGCTATGGCTCTAAAGCTCAGTGGCAAATCTTTGCATCTTTCCTTTGAGTGTCCCAGTTAAGATTCATCACAAAATTCACTGTCACAGAAAACTTCTTAAAAGCAAAGTATCTGGAAAACAATTTGGTATTTTCATTCCTGATCCAAGGGTTACAGACACACACACACACACACACACACACACACACACACACACCCCTATTGCTTGGGAAGAATTTACCATAATATTGACTTACTGGCAAAATTAACATTCTCCATCTTTTAAGAGAAAAACATAAGACTTCTTTGACAAACATTTTACTTTTAGAGAAATACACATTTCAAAAATATGTCATTTTTCAATTGCCTTAGGAATAGGTAGCTGAGGGAGAGACTTTTCACCTCGTTTTCTTTTTTATTTTTTTAAGCCCGACATGGGGCTTGAACTCACGATCCTGAGATCAAGACCTGAGCTGAGATCAAACGTCAGACACCAGGCACCCCATCCACCATATGTTTTTATGTCCTTTCTGAATTGAGGCATATAAATATTTTACATATCCAAAAAGCTAAGCACAATTTTATACGGCAAAAAAGCTAACAATGCATTTACTATTAGGAAATAAAATGAAAATGTCCTAGATAATAGGATAGTAAAGATAGTAAAGAGTACTGGGATCAAGAAGTTAGTCACCTAGTTAGTTAATACGCCACCCTCTCTAGCTCACAAAATATTTGTGAATTCAAACTGTTAGTTGTTTTATTTTCATTGAAACACAAGGGCGAGGGAGTGGTAATCTACTCTCCAAAAAGAAAAAAAAAGAGGGTCCTCTCCAGCAAGACCTTTATTTTCAACACAGTTTAAATCCCATTAACACTAATCAGCACAGTGATTAAGCACATTGTGGTTAAGTACTCTAGTTGATAACTACTCCTTTGGAAAAAAGGTTCCCATAGCGACAGGTAAAGGCTATCATCAAACTGAGCTTTTGAGACTTGGTGTCACAGATCAGAGTTCAGATTGTTTTAGTATTAATCTGGAGGCTTGCTTTTGTAACTTCACTTGACTTCATTCATTCAAAAGACCCTTGGAGGGTCCCTCTATAAACCAGCACAGTACCAACATCGGGACCAGAAGAGGTGGAGAAGGACCTCGAAGATAAAGTATGATTCCCACCGCCAAGGGCAGTCTGCTATGGAAAGCAGCCACTGAAAGAACGAATGACTTTATGATAGTAATGCTACCGCTAAATCTATAACCAAGCCTTGTCCTCACCACTATGGATGGTCAGTTTCTAGTCTAGTTTCACTTTCCCATCTTCAAGCTGCAGCACAGCTGGGTTTCCAGCTGGCTGGGGAAGAAAAGATTCTTTAAATAAACAGCATTTTAAAAATATGCAGTCACTTTTGCTTTACTGAATTTTGTGAACCACCTTCCTCTAACATGTGACTCTGGTCGTCAAATTAATTAAAAATTATCTGAACGAATGCATAATGCCCCAGGAATTCACCTTTTCCATCTTTAACAGCAAAGAACACTATACATTGGAAGAAAAATTGCAAGTCAGAAAGTCCCAAAGGAAGAATGATCTTTGTGTGTGTGTGTGCGTGTGTGTGTGTGACACTATCAGCTGTGTCTATTCAACAAGGAAACAGCAATTCAGTGATAACAGTGATTATACCCAAATATATGCAACCATCGTTAAAAATGCAGGACTGTTTGCAGAACAGGATGCCTTGTACAGAGTTGCTAATCTTTAAGACTCCTTTCTAATTCTTTTCTTCTCCCTTCCACAGAAGGCACAGAAAACACCTCCATGTATGCAATCTTCCAGAGGTAGTAATTTTGGATGAATGATACACATGAGATCTATAAAAATACCCCTCTGACACATACTGCTATCCCAGCCAGATTTCACATGCTTCAAATCGATATTATACAGTTGGCGGTGAAATTAGCCATTATGAGGATCTTCTAGAAAGGGTCCAGTATGACCCCTCACTGATGCTACTGAGACATTTGCTAACTTTTAAGCTCAGTATGACTCTATATGGTATATTATCCCAAAGTCCTGGCCCACCAAAACACACCTTTGTAGATGATCTCCCCAGGAACCATACCTCTCTGAATCCAGACACATTCCGAGCTGAAACTGCCTAAACAAAGTAACAATTCAACCACAGTTGCTCAATATAACCGCCATCATGACAGTTTCTGAGTGCCAGTTTCCCTATTTTGCAATGGGCAGATCTGCTCCAAGGAGAAAATGTTCCCAATGACCCTGTGGCCCAGAGGGCTTTCTTTAGAGACAGAAAACAGAAAATGAATTTGTTAGTTATTTCCTGCTGAGCACAAGGAAGGTGTTGTGGTTAGTTAGGATGATTTTGTTTCCTCATTTAATACACCATCACCAGTGCACGCTTTCTGCTTTCTTTAACCCCGTCGTCAAAAAAAAGAAGATGTAGTTTATGCTCTTCGGTCACACAATCACCAGTTCCACAAGTTTCCTCTTACAAATAACGTTCTTTGATTTCTAATCCCCTTATATAAAGCCCCCCACCGGAACTGACCCAGATCTATATGTTATCAATGCAAAGCAAAAATATTTGTATTTCTGAAGTGTTTACTTCCATACTCAGTCTTGCTCCTTGATAATTTGCAGTGTGAGAGGGCCTTCTCTTTAGCACGGATTGCAGGATCTTCTGAGCACTATTCTGCCCATGCTATTTCAATAATAGGAGGTGATTATAACCTCAAAGCAGGCATTTCTGACCTCCAAATCCTTCCTGATCACACATTCAACTATTAAACTTTGAAACTCTCACTAAAACAAGCAAGGCATAATTGCCAGGAGGGAAGGGGTAAAGGAGGAGGAGGAAGACAAGGGATTATCTGACAATGACCATTGGGTCTCAGTGGACCAGACTAGGGATTATGTGGTGATGTGCCCTGTGCATATTGAGGAGCAACTCACCGAAAACCAAAACAGAAGCTGTCCTTGGACAAGGTTCAATAAATGTTTTTACCATCTATTTCCCAGTGCATAATATAGTGCCACAGCTCCTCACAGGATCTCAGACAAAATACTTAACAGAATAAAAAATTAGAAATTCTTAACTGGCCTCAATTTGTCATCATAAAACATTTAAGACATTAAAGAGCAGTCAACAATATTCGTAGAACAATGTCAGAGAGAGAAACTGCTGTTACCACCAAAGTTTTTTCCTCCTTATTAAGATAATTCAAGATTCTTCTGATTAAAGAGATTAAAGCTCAACATAATGCCAAGATATACCGCCAATACTAAATTAAAATTTGTCTCCTGAAGGACAGGGGTGGGGGCAGGGGTAAGAGAAGGAAAGCTTCCAAAAGTCAAAGGCATTGATCTAGAAAGATGAGGGCAGCAAAACTTCCTATGAGCTGTTACACATTCTTTGCTTCTCAAAGCCTATCTAGAACCAATTGGTAAACTGGTAAACATGCCAACTTCGATGACAGTCCAGGACATCTGTCACAATTCAGTGATTACACAGCTCCGAGTCACACAGCAAGCACCAAATGCAGCCTTAGTTGGGACAAAATGAAACCTCAATATGAATTAGCACAAGATAAGCTAACACCAAATACTCCAGTATAGGGCCGATTTGGTTTGAAATATCTTAATGAGAAGTAAGTACTGGGTGCAGGGATAAGAAACAAAAGCCCTTAAACTGATATTGCTTGTATTTTTGTCATGGGAGACCTCCACTCCCGGCTACAGAGACCTAGAGATTTCAGTGTTGTGTTTCCAATCACCTGCGTTCCCGTGCAGCGCCCAAAATCATGAAGATGAGAGATGCAGTCAACACATCCTGCCAGTAAGATGTCAGAGCTTGAACTTACAGCATTCAGCAGAAGTAAGTTACTCTATTTCATTGTCATCACCATCAACAGACCTAGTGAAATCTCCCAGAAACAGCCAAAAGAGGAGTCTGCTCGCTGGTCCTGGAGGTTAAGAGAAAGCTTTGCTAACTGTTTAGCAAAGACAGGCAATCGCAATGGAGAAAACACACGAGCCACATGGAGGACGGAAAACAGTAGCAGAAAAAGTCCAACTCTGTCTGCGCCAGCGGTGTGGATGAGCAGAACCCGGAGCCCAGGAGAGGAAGGAGGGGGCGGGGGCCATCATTCCCTAGGAGAACTTGTAAGCGGAGGCCTTCGCAAGCTGGGAGTCTGCCCAGCGGCTCCTGCAGACCCTCGCCAGCCTGAGCAAGGCCCATGGGAGCAGAGCGGGCAAGGCCGCCGAGAGTCACTCCTGACTCACTGAGCCTCGGGCCAGCACCGCCGGGACTTCTCCGTTTTTCCTGCCGCTACTGGGCTATGATGGCAGCTTTCCAGCTCCACTTGCCATACATCAGCCGCAGATCGCTGCTGGCACAGGCCAGCGCCTTCCCCCGCCCCTCGCCCCTGGCACACTTTGAGCCCAATCTTCCTTCTCCCCAACCTCAACCCCCTCACCCACCGGTACCAGGCGCCCTGCCCAGGGGCGGCCCCACCCCCCCAGCAGCCCGGCGCTGCCAGGCCTGGGCACCTGCAGCACCTCTCCGCCCCACCCCCCATTCTCCACCACCTCTCCCCTCCCCCCTTTCTCCAGCAGAGGGTGGGGGCGACTCACCGCAGTCAGTGCACAGGATCTTGCCCACCTCTTTCTTGAGGTTTTTGCCGTTGGTGTCGATGGGGGCAAAGGCCGTCTTAAATACTAAGGGCTGCTCCGTGGGCTCCAGGAAAAAGATGTAGCGCTGGTTCCTTTCGAGCGGCGCACAGGAGCCCACGCTGATCACCTGCTCGCGCTGCAGCCCCCCGCTCCGGAGCGGCCACTTGTCCAGCACCTTCACCAGCGCCACCCGACCCGAGGCGGGCGGCTCTCGGGTGCTGTTGGAGCTGGAGCCGCCGGCCGGGGCCAACCCCTGTACCTTGCCCTCCACCACCACGGGTGCCTTATACGCCTGGTCCTGCACCGACTTGAGGCTAGGCGAGTAGCAGGCGAGCGACACACCGAAGAGCAGCATGGAGAAGCCGGGGGCCGGGTCGCGCCTCATGCCGCCGGCGGCTGCGGCTCGAGAGCGGGCGGCGGCTCTCCGGGCTGCGGGGCTGCGGGGCTGCGGCTGTTGCGGCGGCCGCGGCTCTGGGGGCGCAGCGGGACGGGAGATGCTGCTGTTGCTGCTGCTGCTGCTCCTGCTGCTGCTCTCGCTGCTGCTGCTGCTGCTGCTGCTGCTCCTCTCGCTGCCGCTGCTGCTGCCGCTGCCGCTGCTGCCGCTGCCGCTGCTCTCGCTGCTGCTGCTGCTGCTGCTGCTGCTGCTGCTGTCGCTGTAGCTGCTGCACCGAGCCTTCTCCAGTGGCGGCGGCGGCAGCGCTGAGCAGCAAACCTGCCGCATCTGGCCAGGCCATTTGGGGGGCTCCGCCGCTCCGCCGCCGCCGCCTTGGGAGGGGAAACAGAGCCCGCTAGAAAACCGGAAACAGCGTTACGTTAGCGCCTTGTAGCCCTCCACCGGCAGCCCGGGGAGGCGGCCCGGCTAGGGCAGGGGGCAGGCGGCAAGCGGGCCGCGATGCGCAGCGCGGAGCCGCGCGGCGCTCCCACCCTGCGCGCCAGGACCTGGAGGAGGATGCGGAGAATAGGACGCCCGCCCACTTGCTCTCTCGCGCCCCCTCTACCCCCGGACCGAGCGAGGAGCGCGGCTTCTGCAGGGGAAGCTTGGGACTGCACTGCTTTAGCGCCCGGCTTCGGGGCCCGCAGCGGCGCGGGAGGAATCGTGCTATCTCCGTTCTGGGGATTTATGGGCAGGACAGTGGGGCAGTGTGTGACAGGAGCACGGAGTAGAGATAAGGGATTCTGGCACCGTCCTGTGAACAGGGGAGTGGGACACAGGGTGTGTCCCTGCCTTTTGGCCATCGGCTGGAGAAGCCAGGGAGATTTCCACGCTAGGTGTGGCGGGCCAGCCCTCCACCTCCTGAGTTGTCCCCTTCCTTGAGAGGACCCTAGAGGCCGGCCCCTAATCGAGCCCACGTGTTCGGCCCTGCCAACGCCTAGTGAGCTCTAGAGATTTGAATTGGGATGGGGAAGGATTCCAGTCCCATCGTTTTTGGAAAGAGTTAGGGCTACGTGGAGTCTTGCCTCGGCATCGAGGACGCCTAATGCCACCAGAGTGGTGGCTGGGAGGGGGTCCCGTCTCCAAGACTCTGGGCTTTCTGCAGCGGCTAGACAGGGCCGGGCTACACGCTGGACAGCCTCACCTTCTTTTAAAAAGCTGTTCCCTAAGGGAAGCAGGGAGCTTCTTGGGAGCCAGCTTGAGAGCCAGAGCCTATCAGGGCCAAAGGCTGCTCCATAGGAAAAGGTTTCTTTTTAAAAGTCTGGTGCTTGCAAGAGGCAGAAGAGTTTGATCCACTGGAGCTGGCATCTCATTTTAAAAAGCAAATCCACGATCCAGTTTCCTCCTATGAAAAAGGATCTAGGGAGTTTTCAATACCCAGCTTATTCTTACATCCTTGAAGGATGTGGAACTCAGGAATTCCACTCAGGTCTTGGAGAATTTTATCCCTGCCTGGGCCCCGCAGGAAACCAGCCCAGGGATGTCTGGCTTAGGCTTGGACTGCTATTCTGGAAAGGAAGGATGGAGCTAAACCTTTCCTGCTAGCTGTTTAAGAGACACCTCAAACCTAATGTATCCAAAGCCAACAGCAATTTTCCCCCACCCCACTCCAAATGTGCTATAATTGTTAATGTCAGTATTTTATATTTGGCTACCTGATCCCTTCAAATAAGTCCCTTAGTCTCATCTTACTTTCCCCTCATCCAACCAATCACCACTTCTTCTGCTCTAACTTTTAAAAAATCTCCAGTGTATCCTCTCCAGCCCCCTTGTGACTGCCTGAGGTCCAGGTGCTCGCCATTTCTCACCTGGACCACCGCAACACCTCCTAACTAGTCTCTGCGCCATTTGCCTCATCTCCCTCCTCCCAACCTACCACTGTCAGAGTCATCCTTCTAAAAATAAAATGTAAATATGAGTTGTCCATGCCACTGCTCTGGGGAGTCAAGTCCACGGACTCTTCAGCATGACTCTTCATGAGCTCCCTCTACCTCACCAGCTCCATACCCTGGGAGCCAACCCACCACCCTAGGAATCCTCAGCACAACGAACTGCTTGTTGCCGTGCTTTGGCATATAATGTCTCTTGTGTCCAGAAGCCTCACCTGAATCTTGCCCATCTGGAGTACTATTCTTTCCCTAAGGCCCTGCTCAGTGTTATACCTCATCCTTCCTTTCTACACATCTACCTCCGTCCCCAGCACCATATGATGGAATTAATCACTTCCTTCATGTAGCCATGTGCTTCATACATATTACTGTCACGGGACTGACCTGTACTAAAAGCAGCTGTTGGTGGGTCTGCCTTAGACCCATCAGACCAGGCACCATAACGGCAGGGACTATGTCCTTCTAGTCTTTGGAGCACTATAACACAGTGCCTGGCATAGAATAAAGATCGGCAAATCTTCGGTGAAGAAAGGAGGGAAGGAAGAAAAGAATCAAAAGTCAGCTCTCTTAAAGGCATCAGGCCACTCTTGTTGGCCCCTTCAATGTTCCCCTTTACATTTTCATAGTTTGCAACCTCCCACATCACAGAACATCACTGTAAGGAATATTGCTAACTTCACCCTCCCATTTTTCAATGGAACACACAATCCCAGGGAGGCAAAGGGACTTACTCAAGATCACCCACGGCCAGGACTGTGTGGAGTCTTCCGTTTCTGAGACAAGAGTAGTGGTAAAGATCTTGTGCTCTGGGGTCAAGGAGAGCTGGGCTTCAAACCAATTTTGTAATTTACTAACTTTGGGATGAGCCTATTTTTCTCTCTAGGCCTTAGTTTCTTCATCTGTAGAATGGAGATCATCCTAGGGTTTACCCCATAAAGCTGGGTTTTTGCTCACCATATACTTAATAAATATCCAGTTGCATGGCTCCTCTGTGCCAAGCACTGAGGCACACTACTGGCCACTGGATGTACTATAGGGAGCCAAACTGACACTTCCTTGCTCTTAAAGGCTGTACTGTTGGGAAAGGCAACAGTAAACAGGTAGACAAACAGGTAACTAATTACTTGTAGAGCTTTGTCTCCTGAAGGAAATAAACAGGATGAAATGATAAGGAATAATAGAAAGGGGAGAGGGCAAGTATAGTTGGATAATAGAAAACTTCTCTGAAGAGATAACACTTAAGCTGAGAAAAGAAGAATTTGAAGGATGTGGATTATATGTGCATATATGTATAAATATGTATAAAGTGCTTAAAACAATGCCTGATACAGAGCAAGGGCTGAAATTAATGTTGAATATTACTGTTAACTTTCTTATACCAGTGGTTCCCAACTTAGAGCTGAGAATCTCTAAGTGATGTGTAGTTAATGTACACTTGGACTTTCTGTATATTAATAGATACATTCAACTTTTCAACAGTAGATGCCACTGTGATGAATAAAAACACACATCCTCTCTCCTTTTTTCACAGACCCATTTTAAAGTATAACAAGACATGGGGTGCCTAAGTGGCTCAGTTGGTTGAACATATGACTTTGGGTCAGGTCATGATCTTGTGGTTCTTGAGTTTGAGCCCCATGTCAGGCTCTGTGCTGACAGCTCAGAGCCTGGAACCTACTTCAGATTCCGTGTCTTCCTCTCTCTTTGCCCTTCCCCTGCATGTGCTCTGTCTCTCTCTCTCTCTCTCTCTCTCTCTCTCTCTGTCAAAAATAAACAAACATTAAAAATAAAGTATAAAAAGACATTGCTAAGTATGAAGAACAGTGGAAAGATATGCTATCATTTTGTCTTGTCTTAAAGGATAAATATGTAAGTATTTGTAAAGCATAGATTACCTTTGAAAGGACACAGCAGAAATTGAAACAACAGTGGGCTCTGGGAAAGACACTGAGTGACTGAAGAGTGAAAGTACTATGCCCTTTTGTACTGTATGAATGTTATATCAGTCTCCCATGTTACCTATTTGAAAAAAATATTTCAGAGGATCCTCTAATTTAATACTGTTTCTATTTTTTATCGCATGTATTCTCAATCAAAAGCTACTTCAGGGATGCCTGGGTGGCTCAATCAGTTAAGGATCTGACTTTAGCTCAGGTCATGATCTCACTGTATGTGAATTAAAGCCCCACATAGAACTCTGTGCTGACAGCTCAGAGCATGGAGGCTGCTTCCTATTCTGTGTCTCCTCTCTCTGCCCCTCCCTGCTCGTGCCCCCCCCCCTCTAAAATAAATAAACATTAAAAAAAATTTTTTTAAAGCTACTTCAAATAGGACTTTTATTATGTGGGATTCCTTGAAAAAAATGTTTTGGACTTAAAATGAAAGTCTTATGCTAAAAAGGGCTGGGAATTATTGCATTACAATTTTACCCTCTTCAGGACAAAAGGTAAGTTTTGAGATCCCAGCAGACTACTAGAATTCCTGTGGCCACAGAAAATGGGGACATAGACAGAGACTTCGAAGGGGAAGAGAAATACCTGTCCAGGTTTCCTCAAGGTGTAACGTATATGAGGATAAGCTTCCAGAATTAGCCTCAAGCCTTTAGTATAGAAAAAGAGGGTATTTGGTTTCCTAGAAGGGCACACTCAGCTGGCTCTTTCCTGGGGATCAAAATGAAATAGTATGCATCTTTTAGAAAATAAATCTTAATTGGGCACCTGGGTGGCTCAAGTGGTTGAGCCTTTAACTCTTGATTTCAGCTCAGATCATGATCTCACTATTGGTGAGTTCAAGCCCTCTGTCAGTCTCTGTGCTGACAGCGTAGAGCCTGCTTGGGATTCTCCCTCTCTCCCTGTCTCTCTGCCCCTCCCCTGCTTTCTCTCTCTCTCTCAAAACAGATAATTATACATTTAAAAATTTAATAGGCAAAAAAGAAAATAAATCTTGATATTCTGAACCTACTAACTATTCATCATAAATTGATAATAAAAAATAATAGGTGATTTATTAATGGTCTATTGTATGTCAGGAGCTTCATGTTTATACTTCCATACCTCAACAATTTTGCATTTTACAAGCTGAAGAGACTTGCAGAGGATTAATAACTTGCTCCAATGACAGAGTTAGAATTCCTATTCAGGTTTGACGTTGCTAGAATGTTTCCTTTGTGCATACCACTGCCACATCTCTCTGCCTTACCCAGTTGTCCTCGGAGAGGTCCCTACTCTCTCCCAGCTACTTCTACCAGTGGCAGACTATCTGAAATGTGTACCACTGGAGATCAAAGGGTACATTGTACAAAGAGAGGCAACATTTTACAAAAAGATGAAGAAAATTGAGACACTGCGAGAATTTAAGTGTCTTTCCTAAGATCACAAAGACTACTAATAGGGCCAGGAC